CCTATGATTATAACCACGACCATGATTATAACAACCACGACTATGATTATAACAACCACGACCATGATTATAACAACCACGACCATGAGTATAAAACCACGACTATGTTTATAACAACCACGACAATGATTATAATATCCACGACCATGATCATAACAACCACGACCATGATTATAGCAACCACAACCATGATTATAACAGCCACGACGATGATTATAACACCCACAACCATGATTATAACAACTACACATATGATTATAACCACGACCATGATTATAACAACCATGAGTATGATTATAACAACCACGACCATGATTATAACAACCACGACGATGATTATAACACCCACGACCATGATTATAAAAACCACGGCCATGATTATAACAACCACGACTATGATCATAACCACGACAATGCTTATAACAACCACGACTATGATTATAACAATCACGACGATGATTATAACACGCACGACCATGATTATAACAACAACGACCATGATCATAACCACGACCATGATTACAATAACCACGACTATGATTGTAACAACCACGACCATGATTATAACAACCACGACCATGCTTATTAACCACGACTATGATTATAACAACCACGACTATGATTATAATAACCACGAATATGATTATAACACCCACGACCATGATTATAAAACCACAACAATGATTATAACAACCACGACTACGATTATAACAACCACGACCATGATTATAACAACCACGACCAAGATTATAACAACCACGACAATGATTATAAAACCACGACTATGTTTATAACAACCACGACTATGATTATAATAACCACGACCATGATCATAACAACCACGACCATGATTATAACAACCACGACCATGATTATAACAACCACCACGATGATTATAACAACCACGACCATGATTATAACAACCACGACTATGATCATAACCAAGACAATGATTATAACAACCACGACTATGATTATAACAACAACGACGATGTTTATAACACGCACGACCATGATTATAACAACAACGACCATGATCATAACCACGACCATGATTATAACAACCACGACCATGAAAATGAAACGACGACTATGATTATAGCAACGACGACTATGATTATATTAACCACGAATAAGATTATAACACCCACGGCCATGATTATAAAAACTAAGACAATGATCATAACCACGACCATGATTATTACAACCACGACCATAATTATAAAACCACGACAATGATTATAACAACCACGACTACGATTATAACAACCACGACCATGATTATAACAACCACGACCAAGATTATAACAACCACAACTATTATTATGACAACCATGACCATGATCATAGCAACCACGAATATGATTATAACACCCACGACCATGATTATAACAACTACGCCTATGATTATAACCACGACCATGAGTTGTAACAACCACGACTATGATTATAACAACCACGACCATGATTATAACAACCCACGACTATGATTAAAACCCGCGACTATGTTTGTAAGAACCACGACTGAGTTATATAATACCCACGACCGCTGATCATAATAGCGTGATTGCCAGCAACCACGACCATGATTATATAACAACCACGACGATGATTATATAACACCCACGACCATGATTATAACAACTACACCTATGATCATAACCGACCATGATCATAACAACCACGACTTTTGATTCTAACAACCCACGACCATGATTATAACAATCACGACTATGATTATAACAACGCGACGACCATGATTATAATAACCCACACTCGCGCTGTAGTTATAACAACCACGCACACGCTCATGATTATAACAACCGCACCACGTGACTATATGATTATAACAACCACGACTATGATTATAACAACCCGCAGGCTATATATATTGATTTTGCAGCACCCGCGGAGGAGGCCATGATTATAACAACCACGACCATGATTATAACAACCACGCCCATGTTAATAACAACCACGACCTTGATTATAACAACCACGACTATGATTATAACAACCACGACAATGATCATAACAATCACGGCCATGATTATAACAACCACGACCATGATGATAACAACCACGACTATGATCATAACCACGACAATGATTATAACAACCACGACTATGATTATAATAACCACGACGATGATTATAACACCCACGACCATGATTATAACAACTACGACCATGATCATAACCACGACCATGATTATAACAACCACGACTATGATTGTAGCAACCACGACCATGATTATAACAACCACAATCATGATTATAACAACCACGACTATGATTATAACAACTACGACTTTAATTATAACACCCACGACCATGATTATAACAACTACGACCATGATCATAACCAAGACCATGATTATAACAACCACGACTATGATTGTAGCAACAACGACCATGATTATAACAACCACGATCATGATCATAACACCCACGACCATGATTATGAGAACCACAACTATGGTTATAACACCCACGACCATGATTATAACAACCACGACCATGATTATATCAACAACGACCATGATTATAACAACCACGACTATGATTATAACACCCATGACCATGATTATAACAACCACGACTATGTTGATAACAACCACGACTATGATTATAACAGCCACGAATATGATTATAACAACCTCGACCATAATTATAACACCTACGACCATGATTATAACAACCACGACCATAATTTTAATAACCACGACCATGATTATAACAACCACGACTATGATTGTAGCAACCACGACCATGATTATAACAACCACGATCATGATTATAACAACCAAGACTATGATTATAACAACTACGACTTTAATTATAGCACCCACGACCATGATTATAACAACTACGACCATGATCATAACCACGACCATGATTATAACAACCACGACTATGATTGTAGCAACCACGACCATGATTATAACAACCACGATCATGATCATAACACCCACGACCTTGATTATGAGAACCACAACTATGATTATAACACCCACGACCATGATTATAACAACCACGACTATGATTATAACACCCACGACCATGATTATAACAACCACGACTATGCTTATAACAACCACGACCATGATTATAACAGCCACGAATATGATTATAACAACCACGACCATAATTATAACACCTACGACCATGATTATAACAACCATGACCATAATTTTAATAACCACGACCATGATTATAACAACCACGACTATGATTGTAGCAACCACGACCATGATTATAACAACCACGATCATGATTATAACAACCACGACTATGATTATAACAACTACGACTTTAATTATAACACCCACGACCATGATTATAACAACTACGACCATGATCATAACCACGACCATGATTATAACAACCACGACTATGATTGTAGCAACCACGACCATGATTATAACAACCACGATCATGATCATAACACCCACGACCTTGATTATGAGAACCACAACTATGATTATAACACCCACGACCTTGATTATGAGAACCACAACTATGATTATAACAACCACGACCATGATTATATCAACCACGACCTTGATTATAACAACTACGACTATGATTATAACACCCACGACCATGATTATAACAACCACGACTATGATTATAACAACCACGACCATGATTATAACAGCCACGAATATGATTATAACAACCACACGACCGCCCGGCTATAACAACCACGACCGCCCAGTTATAACAACCACGACCGCCTTAATTTTATAGCCACGACTATGGTTATAACAAACACGACTATGATTGTAACACCCACGACCATGATTACCAACGGCGACTATGATTATAACAGCCACGACCATGATTATAACAGCCACGGAAGCATGATTATAACAACCACGTCATGACTATAACAACCACGACCATGATTATAATAACCACGACCATAATTTTAACAACCACGACTATGATTATAACAACCACGACCATGGTTATAACAACCACGACTATGATTATAACAACCATGACTATGATTATAACACCCACGACCATGATTATGACAACCACGACCATGATTATAACAACCACGACCATGATTATGACAACCACGACCATGATTATAACAACTACGACCATGATTATAACAACCACGACCATAATTATCTCATATACTATAGTAATAGCCGTGTGTCTGTGTGTGTGTGTCTGTTCTGGGCAGCCGAAACGGCACAATCGTTTTTCATCAAACTTGGTGGAAAAATCGCAAAAATTCGTAGAGTGGAACAAAACTGGTCCCATGTCGAAGGTTTCTTTAGGAAGGCATTAATTAACCATTTTATTTACGCTGGAAAACGATGTCGCTATACGCTGCCATCCTTCTGGCGGTTGCGCGCTAGCCAAGCACGAGCGTTTGAACTTTCATGCTTTGGTAAACTGTACCACCGGACTCGCCACCTGGCAGGAGGTGCCCACGATCACTTGTTCTGTTAGTATTTCCGTGTCATGGTGCAACCGGCAGATATTGTTACCGAGATTACCGTACCGGATAATTGTCGATAATCATCCAGATTTCTTATGAAAAACACTAACAATGCTACAGTGAACAGCAAGATACAGTAATATAAAAACATACAAAGTTTTATTTTAAAGTTAGTCAATATGAGCTGGTATTGAGGGGCTCTGGGCAATTCCAAACTTAATTCGTTGACAGTCCCAGAGGAAGACTCAATAGGACAGGTTCTAGTGGACGAGCCAGCTAAGTCATGGTCCCCTCACACCTTCCCTAATGGTCAGAACAATTCTCATTTAGAACTGTTGTAACCACAGTGATCATATCAACACAATTCTTTATAAATACGTCTTGCACTTGTTATAGATTTATCATTTAGTTCATAATAATTGTTTAAAACTCGGAAAATCATTAGTAATCACCAGTTCCTCAGTGCCATTAGGAATCTAGTGAGAGTCCCGTAAGTATTTTTTCTTTCACTAACATAAATTACATCTTACATCTCTAGATTAATACTGAGTTATCATTTCAATTGTTTGACTCTAATGCTGGCGTTGTTACACAGACTGGACGATCAATAATTAACTCCTACGGTATGACAGAGGCGTTCTCAGCAGTGACCACCGGTACACCAGACACCCTTGCCCTCCACCCTGACTCTGTGGGCAAAGTGGTGCCTTATATACAGGTTAAGGTAAGATTCTCACCTAACCTAAGGTAGTGAGGCTCATAACTAGTTTACTAATTACACTAATCAACAACAACTAAAATTATGAGATACAACTTTTATTTCTTGATATCTCTTATTGTTCCCATAACATGTATGATAATTGCTCTCAATTTTTCCAAATAGTATAAGACTATAAGATCAATGTCATTGTACTTCACTATAAATGAGCATTTGTTTCCCAGTGTGTCCCAACAGTCATACCCACACACACGCACACACGGTCACCCACACATTTACACAAAGTAAATGTATTTAATAAACTTATTTCAGTACAGTTGACGCTAAGATCACTTTCCTCACTCAGTTTGTGGATGTAAGGACCGGAAGGATGGTGGGTGAGAGACAGGAGGGGGAGGTATGTGTGCGAGGGTCAAGTATCATGCTGGGCTACGCCAACAATCCCACAGCCACAGCCTCAACTATCGACCCCTACGGCTGGCTCCACACAGGCGACGTTGACTACTATGACCAAGACAACTTCGTCTACCTCACCGGCAGGATTAAGGACCTTATTAAAGTTAAGGGATACCAGGTGAGAATTGAACTGTTAGCGTAGAACAGACTACTGTACACTTACTGCTGATTTTCTTTCCCTTCATTAGACAAGCAATCTAACAAAAACATAACGTAACAAATTTAACCTATTAACCAACCCTTACCTAACATAACATAACCTTACCAAATTTTTTCGAATCTAATCTCTTCGTAACCTCATCTCACTTAACCTTACCTAATTTAACCTAATCTAGCCTAATCTAAGTTAACCCTAAAATAGCCTTGTTAACGTAAGTTTTTATGGTAGTTAATACCAAGTGAACCGATTTATGTAGATGTTGAAAGACAATATATCACACGAACACGTACCTAGCAACACCAGGTGCACAGTTACCACACAATACCATATATACAGGTGTATTTGCGGCTTTGTTGTCCATACTGGAATACAAAGTTTGAGCCATGATGGTCCCAGTGTTCATCTCCAAGACTCAAGTCCGTCGGACGATTGTAGCTCAGATTATTTGTCCAGGGGAAGACCCACTCACTCCCATCGTACATCCAGTCTAGGTACAGAGGGAGGCCCACTCGCCCAGAGTACACACAGTACAGTCTAGGCCCAGTGAGGGGCTCACCTACTCCCATAGTACACATCGTCACTACATCTAGTGAATGTGTGACACACTTACACGGGGATGTAGGATACGAGAGGAACACCAGACATAATTCTCTTGCACTTGATGAAAAATACGACAGATTTCAACACCTGTGCCAGCTTGGTCAGCTCAACAAGTTTAGTATTTTCATGTCAACACAACAATGGATCTTATTTCTCTTGCTTCATAGAAAACACAGCATTGTTGTTTATGGCTCAGATCCGTCCACCTGGGCTACTGTGTAAGTGGTATCCCTCAAGAGAGTGAGTTAGACCCCATCTTAGTTGTAATAAACATTAATAGCTAGCTGTATGTTCCTCTTAGCTGATGATATGAAGATGTTCTGATATGTTCAGTGTGACCGAGGCAATGTTCAGGTTCAAATGGATTAAAACAACGTCTTAAAATGTTCTAATAACACGTATTATTGTTTCAAGATCACATTAACGACTAAGACAACAAGGCGATAGTGGAGACCCGGCTGTCGCTTACTCTCTTTCGTTGTACAGGTGTCCCCCGCTGAGCTGGAGAAAGTGTTGTTGCAGTACGAGGGTGTGGAGGAGGCGGCGGTGGTGGGCGTCCCTCCCCGTAAGATGGGCGAGGCGCCACGGGCCTACGTGGTGCCTACATCAGGCACTGTCCTACACCTTCCACACCTACAGCAGTTCGTCGCTGGTGGGTCAATACTCCTTACACGTGTTCTATACTACATAAACTACAAACGTTATCACCTACATATAATACACATGTTATCACCTTCATTACTACACATTTATCATCTACATATAATATACATGTTATTACCTCTATATGCCACATGTGTTACCATCCACATATATTACATGTATCTAATATTACACTCGGTAGTCTGAATCAATGACAGTGACCCACCATAACTCCCACAGTAACCCACCATAACTCCCACAGTGACCCACCATAACTCCCACAGTAACCCACCATAACTCCCACAGTGACCCACCATAGCTCACTCAGTGACCCACTATGACTCCCACAGTGACCCACCATGACT